GTTTTCGGATTGGTGCAGTATTTTCTAGTAAGAGGTCTTTGCGATAACGAAAGTCGCTAAGCTAACAACCACTGCAAGAAACCACATAAAATATTATACATCAGCATTTGGTATGTTGATAGCCGTGAGGCAATCAAGCCAAGGGTGAGTGGTACACAACATTTCTCGGCTGTTCGGCCAGTTTTCAGACCAAACACTTCTTTGTGTGGAAGGAAATAGTTGATTAGATTGCTGAAAGCCTCATTCGTCTGAAGATCGAAAGGACTGCCGAACAGTTAAAGGAGAGTGGGCATTATTAGTAGTAACACATGTAAGTAGTATATGGAGGTGTGAGTGAGACGTTAAAACACCTCTCTCGTACAATCCTGTCTTATCTGGAACTCGCAATCAAAAAGACTAGAACCACTTTCGCAACTGGATATCAAGGCCCTCTTAAAGTTCGGAAAAAGCGTTGACATCCAGCGCGACGACTACTTTACATTGAATAAAATTGAACCTCCATCTGACACCGCAAATCACCAAGAGTTCTATGCAAGGTGAAGCAGCCAGCCAATGTAATCCAGCCCAGAATGAAGTACCAAGCCGAGTGTCCTTAGTCACATCTCCCCAAAAATAGATTTTACTTACTGATTGCATTGAGAATGCGTATGTATGTAGTGTGTACACAAGTTCAATACCGTTGAAATCTTAATTATTCAAATCTTATTTGCATAACAAATTTCCCTAGAGAATTTTCACGTAGATTCGTTTGGTGAAGCTCATTTGATTTTTAAACTCATTTGTTAAAAGAATAGATAACTTTTTTTTATTTATTATTTTTTTATTTATTTATTAAAACAAAAAAAAAACAGAAAACAATACGCTTTCCATCACACTAAAAAACAATTCATTCTTTCATCATGAAATAATCATTAAAATGTCCTTAAGGGTCAGGCAAGTGAGATACAAAATGCTTGAAGTAAGTGTATATGTGAGAGAAGTAAATTTGTGTGTGTAATGTATGTTTGACTGTGTGTATATGTAAGTATGCATGTATATGCGTATGGTCTCCAGGCGGCACACTTTAAAAAGCGATTAATTTTCCGAAAACAAAGTGGTTAAGTGCCAAAATGTATGCAACGTTTACGCGACTACTCTCACACAACACACACACACATGCATGCACAAATATAGTGGAGAGTAACCTGCGTGTCTGTTGAGCACACAACTCAGCTTGCCTGCCACTTGCATGCGCATGAATGTGTCGCGCGTGTCAGCATTTTGCATGGTACGGCTTTGATAAGACACAGCCGCCGTCAACGTGTTGTTGTTGCTGCTGCTGACACTGACGTGTGCCAGCAATAGAAATGCAAACGAAGCAACAACAGCAAGGACAATGACAGCAAATACAAGTGGTTTGTATGCATATATACTTATGTACATATATACGAGTATATGTGTGTGTGTGTGTGTGCTTATCATCTTTGAGCGCTGGTGCGGCGTCAAACCAATGCGGCGGCAGTGATTGTAACGCCGGTCGCGCCGCTGATTTAAGGCGCTTTGATTGTCTGCTGTGGCTACTTAAATCAAACACACAAACACACACACACATACACAAACGCACACAGCAATTCATGCAATCCTTCGATTCAATTCCGCTGAGTGACATGCTCAAATGCCGCTTCTACTTCTACCTCCACTCAAGGCAATACGCCACACGCGTTCGGTCACGTGCTTTACCGTGCGCTGGGTCCGCAATTCGTTGGGCATTCAATTCGTATTGGTGTGAGATTAGCTGTGCAAATATTATTTATTGCATTTGTTAAGTTGATTCATCATCTTGTTAAGCAATTTCGGGCACAAATAACTCACAAAACAAAAAGTAAAGATAGTTGCATTGTTGTTGTTGCTGCTGTTGCTGCTGCTGCTGCTGTTGTATGTGATATATTTACTGTTTAAGTCACACAAAGCTGCTTTCCCTCTGCATGCATACAAAGTGATGTCTGTGTTAAGGAGGATAGGAAGTAAAAGGATATACGCTCTTACGCCCTTACGCTCTTACCGAGCATTAAGAGGCGGAGGGGGCGTGCGCTATGTACGGAAGGGTTAAGGTTCACAGGCTTGTCAAATGTGAAAGGCCTTTGGGAAAGCAAAATGGGTTTAATCTCTAATTACATATGAGTTTTATTTTTTTTGATGTGAAATGATTAAAAATTAATCTGTCTTTCAAAAAAAAAATTAATTAAATTTATTAAACTTATAAAAAAAAATATAATATATATTTCTAACGATATTCAGACGAACTCCTTCTCCAATTTCTAGTGTGCGCCTTGATTTTTTCCAAAACTTGAGGAAACTACAGGTTCTTTCAAGCCGCCTTCAAAAAGTCGATAGATTTTTATGAGGAACTGTAAGAAATAGACTACGTGGGCTTGACATTCCTTGTCGAGGGGCAACAGCGATTAGAAAAATAAATTTTCAATAATTTTGGGTGTTGAACGCACCACGACCCGAATGGAAGTAGGAAATGCTAACCACCCAATTTTAATTTTATTAAGAATCAAAACAGACATTTACAAAGCGTGCTCTCACTCTGCCATTTTATGTGCAGAGTTTCCCCTTTTACGACTGTTCCCTGTCTGGCTTGTTCGCCAGTAAGGCTATTGCCTGGGATGTACCTACGAGCAGGAACCGAAAGGACGAACATTTCACATTCAGTCGAGAATTTATTTAAGATTTCACTCTATCTTATTGCCAGGTTTTGACCTGATATGTTTACATTGTAGAGACAGCCAAGCAAAATATATTGTAATAGCTTGAGTTGCCATACTAGACTTGAGCAATCAGTTCTACTTGAGAGAGTGGTCGGGAATTCCCTTACTTAGTGGATGGCAAAAGACTCGGAGTAAACACCACAACGAACTTTGCTTTGCCATCGTGTCGAGTGCCGTCATTGAAGATGTCTGCGGATCTTTGATCCATATCACATTCCTCTTTCTCTCTCTCTCTGTCTGTCTCAGAGTTTTTATTGAAAAAGTCTTGTAGCAGCTGAAGACGGAAATGGTGTTCAATATTTGACCGTTTCCTATGCGGTTTTTTCATCGCTGAGCTGCATTTAGTCTGACGGCATTGTCGTTCGTATGAGTATAGATCTGCCGGGAAAAGATTAAGCAGAACTTTAAAGGCTGTTTTTCATTGGAGTTCAGGGCAGCGAAACTGTAATGAGTTGGGAGGTCGTCCGCTTTTACAAGCTTGCTCCTAAAAGTAGTCTTGTCTAGTACTGGTCCCCAAGCAGTGATTCCGTTGAATGATATGGGTCTTATAAAAGCTTTGAATAGCCTGAGAGGTCTAAATTGCATAGCATTCTTGCCCTTTTCTACCAAGCTCCTGCTCCAGGTGAGTTTGCTATCTAAGTATTGAACCGCAGTAAGAAAAGCAATCACGATGCCCTAGAGTGAGGATGGTTTTACAGTAGATGGGCGTGTAATTGTGGTGAAGAGCCACAGTTCGGTCTTTTAAGGATATACAACCAGATTTCACACTCATTGCACCTGTTACATAGTATGTAAAGGACATTTTGGAGCAGTTTGCTTGTAACTTGAAGGTGTTTTGCAGTCAGCGTATGAAACTACATCAAATCTCCCGTTTTTTAGCATGCAAAGCGGCGATTTGAATGTGACTCATGAGCTTAACCTAGACTCCATCAAATGAAATCTAGTAGTTACAAACCACTAGGGTTTTGTTCCAGCTCTGAAGACGTAGAAGGGGAAGAGCCCATTAAACAATTCCTCTGTCGCTTTCCAGCCGCAATTCCTCGATGAGTACCAGATGTTTTAAGACAACAAAAAAAAATGCCTCGGTTCTCGAGGGATGCAAGGCATGGTTTCCACGCGTGGAGATTGGTGTGGTATCATATTAGACGTTATTTAAATTTTTAGAGTAAATCATAAATCAGGCAGCTAATAGAGCTTTTTGCTTTACGAAATTACAAAACGGCTTAAATGTGGTTGTGCTGGAAATCTGCATAATTTATTACTCAAAGAATTTCTGACATTTGTTAAGAGCTCGTGAAATTTCTTTCAAACTTACTGATCACCGATAATGCTTAACTTGTACTCCGACTCCATGACAACTTAGCCTATTGAAACTTGATAAATCCGGCCTGGGTAACATTACAACTCTCTTAATTGCGAAAAAAGAGAGCAAAATATTTATTTTACGAAATTAAGTTATCCATACAGAATAATTTTCGTGGCCTACAATTAGGCGCATTAAAATTGAGTTTAGTTTAAAAAAAAATAATTACTTGAATAGATTTTCGTTTTCCAATATATATACACATAATTTAATATAATTTTTGTTCCAACCAATGGTGTTAGCATACTCTTGGGGGTATTTCTTAAATATATAATATATTTCCAGTGCTGTTTTATAAAAGCTGTAAAATTTTCCAAAAATTAGCTGAACTATTTTTTCTGGCACGGAAGGCCAATTGGGCCAACATTTTTCTATTTGACTACCAATTTTTTCATATATGTATATATATAAATATTTTTTTTTTAATTCTCGTTTACTAACTCATCACTTGTGCGGGGAGAATCTCCCACAGCAAATCTCGGTATATTCACCGATTTAAAATTAGTTAAGCTTGATTACCACCTCACCGCCATAACTGCCAAACTCTTGTAGCTACTTAACACTCTTCAGCAACAAAACAATAAAAATTAGAAATAAAAAGAGAGAGAAAGCGAGTAAGGGATAATGATCGAAATGAGTTAAAACTAACAATATTTGTGGTTCCCAAAACATTTTGCATTAAAAATACATTTTTCATGCCATCAATGCGTTTCCAATAATAACTATGTACGAATGTATATACTGAAATCTATATATAACGCAAACACATACGTATGTATGTCAGCTGGCATTTCTTATGTAATTTCCCATTGAAAATTTCAGCTGATTTCCTAATCATTTGAAACAAATTATATTTATTTTTTACTTTCCTCTTCCATTTCTAGATTCATTAATGGGTTCCGCCAGCGAAGACGAAGATGACGATGATCCGCCACATTTACGCGGGCCACCGCTCGGTTTGGGCGTATTGGGACCAAATGGGCCAGACTCAGCGGGTGGACCATTGGGAGCATCCGATATCTCAGTACAAAGTATGAGCACGGATAGTAAAAACACGCATGACGATTCCGATCAGGTAAAACAAGCAGATAAACATACATAAAAATATGCAAGCATATAAATATACAAATATATATATGTATGTACATACATAAGAAATCATTAGTAAGCGCGTAATGAAAGCCATGATTGTTGTGTAGAGAGGAAAAAAGTAAGAAAGAAATAAAAATTACGTTAAAAAAAAGACGGACAAACTAATAGAGGCGAGCGAAAAAAGCAAATGTTGCAGCAAGCAGCGCCAGTCAACAGCTGGTGCATGCAGCGGCGCGAAGAAACACGATTTTTTTTTAATTTTTTTTTTTAATTTTTTTTTTTAATACTTTTTATTTAATATTTCCGACAAATACCTGGTGTACTTGGCTTTTTGACTTTTTAAACGCCGCTCAAAATCATTGCTGGATACCGGCGTTTGATGATTAAGCGTTGGAGCGATGCCGCTGACGTTGTTCGACTCTCCGCGGATGATTAATGATTTACCAATTGCTATTTCACCAATATAAATGCAGACATATTTACATCGATACACAATTGTTTGGCATGCATAATAATGACTCGAAAATAAAAATAAAAAATTTATAAAAATAAAAAAGGAGAAAATAAAATAAAATACTCATCTGCTCTCCTCATCTACCCAGACTGCTTTACAGGATTTTTTTTTAATATATTTTTTTCCACTACTTCTTCTCCCCCGCACAGGGTTCCTTAGATGGTGATCCTGATGGTCGTGGCGATTCGCAAGCGGAGAATAAGAGTCCTGACGATGCGAACGGCTCAAAGCGACGCGGTCCGCGAACGACGATAAAAGCCAAACAATTGGAAGTACTGAAAACGGCATTTAATCAAACACCGAAACCGACACGGCATATTAGGGAACAATTGGCCAAGGAGACGGGACTGCCGATGCGTGTGATACAGGTGAGTTTCAACAATAAAATACAAATAAAATACAAATACGTAATTTAAGGGCGGATAAGATGAGTGTGTATGTATGTATATATTAAATAAGTATTGTTGTAAAGTGCAATTTTTTTTCGTTTTTTTTTTTATTGCTTGCACACAAAGTCGCCGTTAAAGCGTGCCAAAACTGTCACAAAGATGAATGAGCATTTTGCATGTTGTACATATGTATTGTATATGTAGAAGGCGTTGTTTGTATGCAGAAATGCAAAAGATGAAATGCGAAAAGACATTCACAGCGTAAAAGAGATATCAAAGGAATTGGTGTTGGCGTGTGAAAAATACATATATGTAAATGTGTATGACCACGGTAGCCGAGTGGTTAGCATTGCGTACTGCCATTCGGAAGGCTCGGGTTCAAATCCCCGTGCGACCAACATCAAAAAGTTATAGAAAATAAATTTTAATATAAAAAAATTGTATTAAATATTCTAATTGCGGTCGCCACTCGGCAGGGAATGTTAACACCTCCGAGTGTATTTCTGACATGAAATAAAGCTCCTCATAAAAAACCATCAGCAGTGAGGAGGCGGCTAAGTATAAACTGCAGGTCTCTCCATTTGTTGAAAAACCACAAGATGCAAAACCATAAATTGAAGGAGGAGCTCGATGGAAAATCGCTTCAGCGGTTACGAAGCGCCAATTATATGTATATGTATATATATATATATATATATATGTAAATGTTATGCAAAGGGAATAAAAAAATTTAAATTGATTAAATGTAATATGTGAGTAAAATTTGTTGAATTTTTCTGCAATAATTTTAGTGATTCTCGAGCAAACTTTTCCATTCGATTGTAGTGCGTTTCCTGATGTTTTTCCTTAACAACGAGGTATTTTGCAGTTTTAAGCCGCTTCCGAACGACTGATGAAGTTCTATAAGAGCCTTACTTCTTATCATAAGTAAATTCCCAGAAATTTGGCTTCTCTCGGTTTTTTTTATTGATTTTTCAAAATGTAATAAATTTGTGTACATTTGTCCGATTTCAATTATGCCCCGTTTTGTTTGTAAACTTGTTGCCAACGAGATGCCAACTTCATTATACCCCTCTCGTAGAAGGCTGCGTCCCTATTGGCAAAAAACTCGGATGGCTAATTTTCACAGGTCTCTCTTGAGGCCAACTTCTCACCATTAAACGCGTTCGCCATGGAGCTGAAAAGACGGTAATCACTTGGTGCCAGGTCCGGACTATAAGGTGGGTGCATTAGGACCTTCCATCCGACCTCCTGGAGCTTCTGGCGTCTCATCAAAGACGTGTGTGGCCTGGCGTTGTCCAGATGGAACACAATTTCTCTTTGCTGGTGTCCATCTTTGACGAGCGCTCACAACGTACTGAGGCAATCAATCGAAAAACTGTCAAAGGCAAACTTTTAGCGCGAATTAAAATAATACCATGACTAACCTAAACAACAGTCGACTTTACTTTCCAAATGTTTTTTTTTTTTTGTAGCTGGTTTTCCCTTTACAAGACACTTTTAGGACCGTATTTTTGTTTCAGGCGTATCAAAGCTTCGTCCATAGTTAATATTATTCATGTGAGCAAACTGGGCATCCAAAGTGCGGAGAGCTTTCTCATATCTCAAAACGTGCTTTTGACCGCGTCATAACCTCTGGTACCTCCCTCACTTTGATTCGGCGTTCATCTAGCAGCATTTGCCTATATTTTTGTCGATAGTTGCAGTTTTCGGACGTCCCGAACCCACATCGTTTTCCAAGCTCTTGCAGTATATAAATAAAAAAAATGACTTTCCGCCTTCTCTCTATACCAACTAAATTACAAAACTTAATGCTTGAAGAACTTCCTCTGATACTGAGCGAGTGCAAACAATCATTTATCGATGGCCGGTTAGTCATGATAAGTTCGATTCAGTTTACTTGTGACTTGTTATTGTTGGTGTTTGCTGTTGTAACGCTTGAAACGTTAACAAATCGCTATATTCTTAAATCGTTAAATTGCTGAATCGAATATTATACACCGTTGTTGGTGTTTTGGTAGATGAGGCAATGCTTAGGAATAATGGCTGCTGCAAACAACGGTGGCTATGGAAGCAAGTGGTGCCTGTAGGTGAGTTTAGCGGAGAATAGCAGAAAAGGCAGAGCGATAACAGGCAGCAAACTGACAACGACAGCGACGAATGTTGAGCAAATCAAACTGATGGGTTATGCTACAGCGTAACTAAATGAAGTAGTTTTTTTTTTTTAATTTGAGGTCAAGTGAGTTCAACGAAGCGAAAGAATGAAAAATGGCAAAAAAAAATAGCCAACGCCAATGAAGACAAAAATGATGAAAAAATATTTAGGAAGACAAAATGTTGCTAAGAAAAATTGTTGCTACGAAAAAATATTGTTATGTAAAAAAATGTTGCTACGAAAAATTGTTGATAAGAAAAATGGTGTTGGGTAAAAAATATTGCTAAGAAAAAATATTGCTAAGAAAAAATGTTGGTAAGAAAAAATGTTGGTAAGAAAAAATGTTGGTAAGAAAAAATGTTGTTAACAAAAAAATGTTGTTAAGAAAAAAATGTTGGTAACAAAAAATGTTGCTAAGCTCCACATATTGAGCAAAACATGTTTATTAAAAAACTAAAAAAAGCTGACAAAAAATGTGCTATATGTGTAAAGAAATATTGTTTTTAAACAACTGAAAATTACATGTGATAAAATTTTATAAAAATCGTTGCTTAAAAATTTTCATTGAATAAAAAATAAAAAGTAATGGGTGAAATAAATGTTTACAGAAAAAAAATATCTATTATCAATAAAAAAAAATATTGCTTGCCATTCAATGTTTCTAAACCCGAAATGAAATTCGAAAAAAAAAATAATTAAAAACTTAAAAAATGCTTATTTATTTAAAACGCGCCTGAAAATGTTGATAAGTAAAAAATGTTGCTTAAAATAGTATCTAAAATATTGTGCTATAAAACTCCCGAAATAGTTGGGAAAAAAATAAAAAAGAAATGTTTACTGAAAAAAGAAAACAGAGAGTAAATTTTGTTCCAAAATGTGAACACAAAATATATACTGGCACACAAAAATTTTGCTAAGCAAGTAATTTCAACGAGCCGGCTAATCTTGTTGCATTTTGTTAAGTAAAACTTCAAATAGAAAATTTGTATGCATATAAATAAAATTAAAAAAAAATTAATTTATTAAATGTAAATAATAAGAATTCGAAAGAGATTTAAAGAACGTTTCTGCAAATAAATGCTGCGAAACAATAAAAGTTGCAGAAAAAAAATTTTGCCTATCAAAAATGTTGTTAAACAATTTTAAATAATTTTTTTTTTTTTGGAAAGTATTCGCTTTTAAAAGAAAAAGGTTGCTAAACTTTAAATATTGGTTGGCAAAAACTTTTCCAGGCTTATATATTATTAAGTAAAGGCCGTAGGAATATAAGTGAACCAGCCATAGAGAGCTATCAGGCTCATCATTTCAGAACATGTGGCTGCTTAAATACTCTAAAATTACAACTCTCGAAAGAAGCAAAAATTTCCTAGTATTAAAACCTAAAATAAAATCTAAGAAACTTTTAAAGCGATTGCCAAAAATTCCGAGTGTTTTCTAAATCACAATAGGAGCTTCTAGGAGCCAATTAAAGCGTTTTATCTATCGGCTCACAAGATTTTTCAAAAAAGCGAGCTTAGGTTCAAAATTTTCATTATTTTTTCCCCTTGAGAAAGTTAGAATTTTAAAACATTATTCTTTTTTTTAACTCCGAATGCACTTTTGTATAAACTTTGGAGTTCATAGATTTTTAAAAATGGTAAGCCATATTGAAAAAAATAATAATCCAATTTTCAAACAATTTAAATTTATTTTTTGGTTTAATTGTTTTTGAAAATCTAATGTTTTTGTACATAGAAAACCCTTTTTAACTGTTTTTAAGAAATTTTGCTAGAGAAGTGTTGCTAAGAAATGTTGCTAAACACAAAATGTTGCCAACTAGCTATAAAAATCTCATTGGCACTACCATACATACAAACATAAATATTTCACTTTCAAGTTGAGCAACCATTTCCATTGAGTCATTCCATAAAAAGTATACGAAAAACATATAAAAAATAAAAATAAATGTAAAAAACAAATACGAAATGAGCTTTATTTAACAAAAAGAGTTGGAAAAAAAGCCTCAACGCTTAACCACAAAAATGTTCATATTTTCAAGCAGAAAATTGTTTTGAACTGCAACTGACAGCCACATTTGTCAGTTATGGCTGACCACATTCGGTTCAGCCGCATCAAAGCCACAACCGTAACAGCCATCAGCATAAGCATACGACGATAAGCAACAAAACCAACAACAACAACAACAACAAAAACAACAACAACAACATTGAATTTATGTAAACCAATGTACACAAAATGCCAAGGTAAACGATGAAAGCAAACGAAATAAAAGCAATAAATACACCAACAACAATGAAGAGAAAAACTGAAATAATAAAAGTGCAACAAAACAAAAATAAGGAGTAACCAAAAACAGAAAATGGCAATGGCCAGTGCAATACGTTTGGAGGAAAGGAGAATAAAAAAATAAAAGAAAAAAGCAAAAACTAAAATAATAATAAATAAATATGAAATTAAATAGGATTTTTTTGTTTTGCTTTTGTTTTAAACCATTGCATCTGTGCACCACAAAAGTACGAGCAACACAAACCGCACGCTGTCAGCCTGCAACAGCAAGTGGCGTACGTTGTTGCCGCAAACTTGTGCGGTCGAACGCATTGTTTATACATTGCTGTTGCATATCTTCAGCACATTGTTTGTATGTATAAAAGCAATTTTTATATGCAAAAAAATTCATTTTTTTAAATTTTTTATTGGCGTTTAACTGGCGCATTTGAAAAAAAAAAATTAAAGCCATTTTGAATCGGTTTTACGGTAATAGGCAAATGGCGCATATGAATGGGAGGTTATGTTGAATCATCAGAATCTGAATGAAAATTTAATT